GTCATGCCTCTCCTCAGAGTGACTGTAAACACTTAGCATATATGAATATTAATGTTCCACATTAAAGCCCTGATGGCTAGATGGAAGAGTTAATGAGGATAAATAACAGACAGCCAAGCAGTGAAATCTCAGCTCTGACATTATTTATCATCCTTAACTTTTGTCACAGCTCCTTTTTTAGTAATTAATATCATACAAGAAAGCACTTTGCACTTGGTTGAGTGATCTAATTTGTTTAATATAATGCAATTAAAGGAGCTTGAATTGCTTTATGTTAATGTTACTGATTATATTCCTTGCTGGGTTGCCTCTCCACCAGCAGATAACAAGCTGAGCTTGAGGATTGATGTCTGTCTCTGATCTGCTATGTTCGTCAAGCAAACTACTTAAATGCCATTTACATGCTCCTACTCTGCACTGAATCACACAAATCTAATAAACGTGACTCCAGAAAACAGCCATTGATTATAAAGCCTCAATACTGGGAAAATCAGATGTCAAAACTCAGATTAGTTTCGCTTCTGGTACTTTTCAAATCACAATACCTCTCATTTCTTTGCATATGCAGGAAAACAGAACAAAGAGACAGATGTTTCAACAGTCTGCCAAAAGCTCGTGAAGTTTAGTGGCTCACATAATAAACCAGCGCCACCTTGGCTGTAAATGTTATGAGGATCGCTGCTTTGAACACAGTGCTATGAGGATGGGGTGCTGGTGAATGCCACGGTGAGCTTTGACACTGAGGTTAAGAGGACACAATGTGACTTGGGGTGAAATATGACATTGTGAATGTAAAGAGGGATGGAGGCAGGGAAGAGGAGAGCACAGCTGGGAGCAAAAAGAGCAATGCACAAATGACTGGTGATAGCTCTGCAGGATATGAGCCACACTTCTGTCTGTCTGTGGAGAATTTACCCTGCAGACCTGAAGCTCACCTTTACAGCTGGACCTACATTTTTCTCAGTCACACACAAGCAGACACACACACACACACACATCCTCACTGAAATGAGGATTATCAAAAGCGGACAGGTTCTTTATTTCAAAACCTCCTATCTAAAGCCATTTCATCCAGACATCATCATTCCCCTGAAATGGATCAAACATGTAGAAAAGGCTTCCAGCACCTTATTGAAACCATGCCTCGAAAAGAAACTCATGTAAAGGTGACACAGGATTTACAAACAAACATCACTGGAATGAGGATGTGTGTGTGAGTAACACTCATACTTTGTCAAATGAAAAACTGTGGGAATAACATGTTTGAAACTGGCATTTTTAAAAACTTCTGCAGCACATTATAAGCCCGTCAGATGCAAGTTTTACATATAATATTTATTTTAAATAAAAAAAATATATGGCTGCATTCATTGATGATTCTGACCCTTACAGGATTCATTTAACTCACATTTGTAGATTCTGTGGGAAAAAGAAAATTAGAAGTGTAAAACTGAAGTAAAGTGACAAATGTAACTCCCTTCTTAACTTTTCTGCCTCCTAACCCCACGTCTCACCAAGTTAATGAAATGCCTAATTAAATATCAGATAAGGCAGGTTTAGCTAATAGTCAGGCCTCAAAAACAGCATCCTCTTCGCTGCCTGCAAAACAATTACTCACCACTGAAATGCAAAATTTGGAAAACCCCAACGCTCAAGTTGTGCTCTCTTCCCACAAGTCCTTACTTATTTATGTATTCATAAATATATTTATGGTTTGTTTCAGAACATCATAATCCATTTTGGGAGGAGCACTAGACATCGTCTTCTCTC